GGTTCTCCGCCTATCCTTCTCTTTCTCTTTTCCTCCCAACCTCTCTTTCTTCGCTTCTGTTTATCTGTCTTTCTCTCTGTCTCTTTTTTTCTCTTTGCTTCTACCGCATGCCGTCATATAAAGCTGCCAAATCGTCCTGCCGCACCTTAAAGGCAGGCTGTTAAACGGCCGCTGTTTTGACTATAGCCAGGTTATTAGGGCTTCTGTACAGCTTCCTTCCTCTCTCTTTACCTCTTATTTCTCCGTTTCTCTTTTTTCTTTTGGTTGCAAATATGTTGCTGTCCCTCGAGGCCCAACAAGCAGGCCCTCAAGGCGGGCATATGTCACAGTATTTATTAAACTATAAACAGCCTACACACAGATTTGCGGTTAAAAAACACCAGCGTTAGTACCGGTTTTTTGGGTACAGGTTTTTTGTGTACGTACGGCAGACAGAGTAATATTTGTATTGAGCAATGTATTTAAATGTGCGGAAAACCTTTGTCGGAATTTTGACAGAATAAACGTTGTGGGGTTCTCTGATACAAAAAAAATAGATTTTTTGTTCAAAAGTCTGTGTTTCTGTCTATCATTGTGCCTGTCATAAACATTCTCAGACTTTTTTTCAAAATTGTCTCAAAAGGTTTCAATGAAGTTGCATTATACGCCATGAATACATTAAAAACTACGGTGTCTATATTACATAACCGAGCCACGTATACGAACGACGTCACATATGTAGGAAGAACAAGAGAGGGAGAGACAGCTGAGGGCATCCACTACTGTCGCTGCCTTTGCAGACGACCAGTTCCTGGTGGCCTTCCTCCGCGGCGCCAAGTTCTCGCTGGAGAGGGCGAAGGAGAAGCTGGACGCCTACTACACGCTGCGATCCGCGCTGCCCGACTTCTTCGCCAACCGAGACCCCGCCGCGCCCGCCATCCAGCACATCATGAAGCTCGGGTACACTCTCTACACTCATACATTCAGAATTTTGTATACAAAGTACACCTCTGTTTTTAGACAGAGTATTTTGCGAATAAATTATATATTCATGCTCATATTTTTTAAATATTTTTGTTAATAAGCTGTATTAATAAATTGAATAAATAGTTTATTCAAAAATAATTTGAAAAAATAGAGGTGTGGTATCACAGTGATCTTTCTAAAATATTATTTCAATTGGATTCTCACCATCTAGTCACCTTCTTGAACGCAATTACGCTCGGAGAACATATTCCGCAATCGTAAAGAAATCCAAATTGTGACCATGTTACTGAGTAACAACGCATTTTTAATAATTGAATTTGTTCAGTGATTTGGATCGGCATTCGAACCTGGGCATTCTGGTTTACGCCAAGCTGCTCTGACCAGGAAGCTACCCAGACAACGAATCATTTGAACAGTTTTTCACATGTGCAATTATCGCGCCTTGTATGTATGTAAAGAAAACAAACACATGTCTGTGTCATTAAAATTCGAATCTGCCGCGCCAAGTGACTGATAGCTGACATCCCATGGGAGCCAGCTGGTGAATAATTTCAGAGACAGAGAATCGATAAACGATCGTATGTGCCAAAAGACAGTTATAAAAAGCTATTAATTAATTTTCACCTGAAGTAAAAACTGTAAATGTTTTCTGCTTTGATTTCAGATAATTTTTTCCATTGTAATAATTGAAAATCGAGGGAAATTATATCAAACTGTTTTTATTACAGAACCCAACTGAGTTTTTATTTCCGAATTTAATCCTCAAATTAATTACTTGAATGTTATAATCATTATATGTATATAATTGCCTCAATGAACAAATTTGATTCATAATTTTCTAATAAGATATATATAAGAAGTCTTTCAGCAACGGGACATGCTGGGGTGGAGTGCAGTGTAAGTCGTGCGTGTAGTGGTAGGATGACGTACGAGGGCATTGTAATGAAATGTAATGGGAATCTCTCCCGGGGTTATCGAGGGATAGTGGGGCGTCAACAGTGCACCGGCGCAAGAAACGCAGCTGGGCACAGTCAGCTTCCGCTGACAGGAGTCGGTCGCCTCGCAAGCAGTCAGCTCAGTTCGCTGGTGCTTCTGTCGGTGATTTTCGGCATACGACACGGATGTTTCGAAGAAGAGACGGAGGATTCGCGTGGCAGGGGAAGCAGAGACGGAGCTATCTTATTATCGCGCTTTCTTAAAGGGGTTGTGTATTTCAAATATAAATCCTGTGTAAGACTGTATTTTATCGCAAACAACACATGGCGTCCGGGGAGGAAACATTGAAACTTCGAAAATTATCTCTTAAGACAATCTTAAACATATTTTGTCTTATAAACTATTTGGATATTCCGAACGGCTGAGCTGCAATAAGCTCTCATAAGTTCGTTAGAAAAATTCTTTCTAGGCACAAATTTGCATTATAAAAGCATATAAACAGTGAAGAAACATGTAAATTGTTTATTATGTGCAAAAGAAATGAATACATTTGTTCAGATAGAAAAATGAACACAGAAATTTCACAATTTACGCAAGTCGACTGCTGTTTTTTTTTAATTTATGAGTTAATTTCTCTTTCTCAACCACTCGTGGGCGACGACGAGGGAAGACCCGCATTTTAACTAATGCTTCGGTTCGCGCGCTGCATGGGCGACGCAGAGCTGCTGGCAGCAGCAGCGGCGAGTGTGTGTGTGTGTGTGTGTGGCAGGCTGTTCCTGCCGCTGGGCGAGGACCGCGAGGGCCGGCGCGTGATCCTGATCCGCGGCGGGGGCTACTCGCCCGCCGGCATCAAGGCCAGCGACCTCTTCAAGGCCAACATGATGGTGCTGGAGACCCTGCTGCTGGAGGACGACGCGCTGATGGTGCGCGGGCAGGCGACGGTGCTGGACCTGGCGGGCATGACGGTGGCGCATGTCGCCCACTTCCCGCCCGCGCTCGTGCGCCGCGCCATGGTCGCCTACCAGGTGCGTACGCGCCCCCTCCCTCCTCCCAGCCACCGCACGCTCACACCTCCACGCGCGATGCGAGCTTAGGGCTTGCCCCGGCTGGTGGGAGGTGCCTGCTTGGGGAAACCCACGCTAGCCGACGGTAGGGCGGCGACGGATACCGCTACCTTCCGAGCGAATACATCACGACACTTACGGGACTAATGACCTGAGTAGTTGACGCGCCCGGAATCACTAACAATCAATCAATCAGCTCTGCGTCCATTCGTGCTCTTTTTTGGAGACGACTTGCACGCAACACTCCCCGTGCTGATTACTCGGGTTGACATACATATTTTCCAGCTTGTTTAGCACCTTTCAAAACGCTTATGAAGCATTGCAAGTAGTGTTTCTGCCCAATCGGTATTGGTACATCGAAGCCCGTCCCTGCGTCCGATACCCTGCGCCGCACCGCCGCTATGATCTGTCGGCAGGGGCGACACAAACGGGAGCTGCCATGGCAGGGGCGGTCAGACGAAAAGGCGGAACTCACGCTTCAACAATCCAAGCACAATCATTGCCAAGATTTTGCCTCTTGACACGTTACCTCGATATACGATAAATAAATAAATAAATAAATAAATAAATAAATAAATAAATAAATAAATAAATAAATAAATAAAAGCAGCCTTGAAAGAACGATCGTGCTGGATATCTGGCACAGTTGATACAACATTCCCGTGCCGATACAACGGTTTACTCGCTGCGGAGGACGCGAAATGTTTTGGTGCAAAACGCTTGTAAAACACTATTTCCAAAACACCATAGCACTTCAACTTTGTATGGCGTTCTATCAGCTGGCGAAATTTCATGAGTATCCGAGTATCCAGCGTGGTCAGTGTTGGGGGTTAGTGTAAAAAGATTGTAGGTCCCTATAAGAGGTATCATAATTTTCCACCTGAAAGGGAACATTGCCTCTCATTAAGTAACTGAACCTTCACAAACTTTCAATCTTGGTTTCCTCCAAGCTTCGAATTCTTGACTTACGATGTCTGTGCACTAAGCCATCAATGCACTATACGGAAAATTGAAACGCCCTCAAAATATTGCTTCAAGGCGTTCACATCCCACTCTTGAAACCGACTGAAATGATGGACACTTAGAAACTCTGGAATTCACTGTTCGCTGAGTACACTGTATGTAACACTTTCTGACCATGTAATTTAAGTGTTATATATTTATTAAAATCTCTACATGTATGTTGTTGACTGTAGAAAGAAATCCTGTTGTACCTCCTAACTTGAAAACGTAATGGTTCACATTTATCTATAATCATTTAATAGTTTTTAAACACGCACATCAGAGGATTTCCGGCATTTTTTCCCTCACTAATATTTTCATTTAAAAGCACTCACTAATCTTAGAACGAAAAATAACGGGCTCTTTTTTACTTCCCTAAAAACAATCCTACACCCCACAACGGCGATATCAACGTCATAGCGGGATGCGCAACTGCAAGGCTTTGAAACGGTAAAAATCGTGACGATCGTTTTTCATTAGGTTGGCTGCGGTGAACGTCTGCCTACAGACTTTCACTTCTTCTTCTTCTTCTTCTTCTTCTTCTTCTTCTCCTTCATCTTCTTAAAAAGTCTAAGGCTTGTTCCTTTCCAAGAATTGTAAGGAGACTTTCCATCTTCTCCTTGGTCTGCCAACTTCTCTTCTTCCCCTCGTCCTTTCATCCCTAGTAATCCTCACGATTCTTTTCTCCTCCATTCTCTCAATATGATCGTTCCATTCCTTTCTTCGGTCTGCTACCCATTCCGTGAAGGGCTTAACTTTTCATTCTTCCCTGATGTATCTGTTTCTTTCCTTATCCTGTAGAGTGTGTTTTGCAATTTTTTTGAGAACTCTCCTTTCGGCGACCTCAAGTTGCTGTTGGGTACGTTTCGTTTCGCTTCGCCTCTTGTTTCTCCTGAATTTGTTAATATTGATCTATTCTAATTGATTGATACATTCTAACCTTCGAGTCCTGTTTTAGATGTTTATTACACCATATTGAGTAGTTTAGACCGCCAGCGATTCTATTACCCTTTATTATTTGCTCTTTTATTTCTTTCTTCGTTTGTTAAAGTTATTGCCAAATACTTCATCTTTAGAACTTGTTCTTTTATTTGATTATCCACTATCAATTTACACCTAATCGGATTCTAATTAATTATCATAGCATTTGTCTTCTGAGTATATATTTGAAAATTAAAATTCTTACAAAGTTCACTGAACTCGTACAGGAATCGTAAGTCATCTTCATTTTCTGCTATTAACAGTGTGTCGCCTGCGTAATATGATATTTATATTATATTTTCCCATACTATATCCTTTTCTTGTTTTTAGTTGTTTTATAATATTATTCATTATTACATTAAATAACAATGGGTTCAATCAACTCCCTTGTCTTATTCCTTGCGATGCTGGTATAGCAGGTAATATGGTTTTTAATCTTTATTTTGTTTTCTATATCTATAGTTTTAACAGGTTCAGAGGGCACATTTTCTTGTTTGAGTATTCTTATGACATCAATTAGTTTTATATTGTAAAATGATTTGCTTAGGTCAGCAAAGCATAGTCTACAGACTTTGTTACGAATTAAATACGTCTTGTGTGTTGTTAGTGACGCTTACAATTAACCCTCTTCAAAGTTCTGCGTTGCAGTCGGTTGTAAAGAGCGCCAAGAAACTGTAAACGATACGAATGTTATTAGATGAGATATTATAGGTTGTCATTTCTTTAATAATTTTTTTTAGGTTTCCGACGGCAATTATTTTCTATAAATTGTCGTAACGAAATTGTTAGAGATACACAAATCAAGAACAGTCCCCTGCGTGAATGTTATAAAGAGTCTCCAATAATTGAAAGATTGGATTGTGTTAAAGTATTGAAGGTGAATTGCAATTTTAAAGTATTAAATATTGGTTACTTTTAACTTTTCATTGCGTTTTAGTGAACATAAAAGGTAATAAATGTTTTTCAGTCTACACTAGAGCTCACTGCCCCACACTCGCGTGTCTGCGGTCCCTCGGGGGCGAAGCCGCGCGCTACATATCGAGTGCACCGCGCACCATAAAGCGACCAAGGCCAACTGCACGCAATATTTGAAAACTTCATAATGACTGATACGTCTTCGTTCCATTAATTTCAAATTATTATTAGAACTAGTTGAAAGTGGTGTCGCCGACGCTGCAAACTGAAAGTTGAAATATGTTCTTAAAGTATTTGGCATTGAACTTACCAATGCGTACTAGCTTATATTGTTATACTCCAGTTTATTTATTTATTTATTTACGTCGAAAACAGTTAAAAACTGTGTGTGATGTGCTATGAGGAGAAGTAAATTGAAGTTACATTTATGTTCAGAAGCAAAACAAGGGGCCATCAAAACATTTGCTCGAGAATCAGGGAAATTGGACGAAAACCTGGACGAAATTGGAAACCTGGAAATTGGACGAAAACCGAGATCGGGGTCATTGATCCAGAAGCTGAACTACAATACTTGTTACAGGCTCTTTACAATTATACAATGCAAATGTTATATAATACATTAAATGTTATTGTTAAAATTAATATTACTTTCCTTTTGAATACTCAGTATAGTCTCTAATTGTATAGAAATTCAAAACTTTTTCACATCCTATGACCTTGCATGTTACCTCCATACGGGAGATGAACAGGTAATAGTGCAATTTAAAAATTGTAATCACAGTAAAGAAATACTTGCAGGTATGGATGATGCGAATAGTTAGAATTTAGTGCAACTACATGTTGTAGCTATTTTGCTAATATGCTCAAAAATGCACATAAAAATAACCCATAAGCTATTCTTCAGCATTATTCCCGAAAATTCTGTCACAAAATCTTCTACAATTACATTTCATTCTTCCCCAGTATTTGCACGCTTAAGTACGTAAATGTACAAAGTCGAATAGGCATGTACACTCTTGGAAACATAAAGTTTCGCGTCGAAAATGCCTTGGCCCGATAGGTTGATGGCTCTGGATATCCCTTCTTGCCGACAGCTCTATCTACCATTTATTTCCGGTCCTACGTTCTGTAGATCGTACTAAGAAGATATAATTTATCTCATTTGGAGAGAGTTTAAAATATTTTATCATCCATTGAGAGCAAAATAGTTGTAGCACTGAGGAAAAAGACTTTCGTGACTCCTACCAGTAAAACTCAATTGACATTAATTTTTGTAAACGTAATGTTTGTTTCAAGTTTTGTTCATATAAAATGTGTTAGTATAAGAGGAGCGATGCAAGCGCGAAGAATGGCTCAGTATTAAAGTGTTGTTCTAGCACTCGTGAAGTTGCGGGTTCGGTTCCCAACCCTACATAGATATTTTTATCCATTCTAACATGTGCAATAAAATCCCTAAATTATTAACATTTTACATTGTGTGACAAATTTTGTCATATAACGGTAGAAAAATTGTCTGTCGCGAAGAAAGCAATTATTTCATTGGTGAAGAAATTTAGAAAATTGATCCATTGTATTACAAATTGTGCATTATGTAGTGGTGGAGAAATAATATATGTTAGTCCTGTAGCTTCTGAGGCATTTTTATAACGATTTAGCTATCGCAGCGGTGTTTGGACCGCCCATAACGTTTTGGAGATTTCAAAACGATTTCAGCCAGCATGAGCAGGACCAAAAACACCAAAACATTACATAAATATTTTTTATTTGAAAACTAAGCAAAATGCCCCCAACTCACGTGGAACAATCAAAATATGTATAAGTTAAATGTTGGCCGATAACAATTAATGCACGGGTCTAGTTTGAAAATGGGACTTTTCCATTTCAGTCTGTTTTGAGAAATACAAAAAAAGTTCATATTCATTGCTCTTAAAACATTCTGATGCTAAATGTTTGTGATTAATTCCCTTGGCTAGTGAAAGTCCAAACAATAGAATAAGATAATTCAGAATGTCCTAGTCACTACGAAGAAAGTTGAGCTAAAAATTTAAAAAAGTCTAATTTTG